CGTTACTTACCCTCGTAGTTGTGCAGGTAACTTGAGATATACAATTTAAATCCCTTGTTACGTTTGCTTGTCGGAGCAGGGGACCAGGCATCAACAATACGATGAACATCGCTGATATTTATCTTGGGCAGCTCTTGTAAACATCTAGAAAACGCCATTTTCACCGAGACCGGGGATTAGACCGGAAACTGGAATGCCGACATCCGGTCAAAGGGGAAGTGATTCAGGACGCATGTGCACAGAGCCTATTAGTCGGACTTTCCGTTCCAAAATCGGAAATATGACTAGCAAAAATGGAGAATCTAGACCACCCCTGACCTCAGCTTCAGTATTGGAAACCTATAGATTAAGTTTGACAGCTGTAGAATTAATATTTTATACTAACTTACACGGGTTTGTTTCTCAGTAATTCATGGTTGGAACATTATGCTAGTTAGCCTGATCGCGGGCAAAATGCGATCAATGTCCGTCCCAGAGGGAAGAGTCCAATTTCCGAGGTGACATGAACTCAGCAGAAAAAACAGCCGCCATATTTGAACGTCTCATTAAAAATGTAACGTTTTTTGCCTTATTTAACATGCACAAAAGCAAAATTAAGTGTTTAAATCAATTTTATGTAAAGTTAACATTTACTATATAAAGTTCGTTATTTTAAGTTATATACAAAAGTTATATTGATAATAGCTGGTGCCATTCCTGAAATCACCACTGGCAACCACTCAGGCTGGGAACCTGCAAACTCACTTTACATTAAAGTTTTATTTTCTTTAAACCAACAGGATACATGTGATTTTTCACTTAGTTTTATCAATGTGAATGTTAATTGTTTAAAAGTGTAGCGAAGTTATTAGTCTGTTGTTAAAAATGTATTTTCACTGAAGAATTTTATTTTTTTAAAGAAATTCTGCCGTTTTCATAAAACTCCATAGTAATTAATCATACCTTGTGACCTTATTAGTGTTTTCTATGCACACGCTCCATCTTGTTAATCATAATTTACAGCTTTGAAAAATTACAAAAGTTACAAAACTACCAGGACTAAAATGAGCTGAACTATTGCATTAACTATATATTTACCCCAGACATGTTAATATAACGGGCAGCACGGTGGCGCAACTGGTAGAGCTGCTGCCTCTCAGCGAGCAGGTCCTTGGTTCAAACCCCGGTCCAGGGGCCTTTCTGGGTGGAGTTTGCATGTTCTCTCCGTGCATGCGTGGGTTTTCTCCGGGTACTCCGGTTTCCTACCACAGACCAAAAACATGCATGTTAGGCTGATTGGTAACTCTAAATTGTCCCTAGGTGTGAGTGAGAGAGTGAATGGTTGTTTGTCTCGTTTGTCTCTATGTGGCCCTGTGATGGACTTGCGACCTGTCCAGGGTGTACCCCGCCCCTCGCACAGTGATTGCTGGACATGGGCACCAGCGACCCCCGTGACCCAAAATGGAATAAACGGGTAAAGAAAATGGATGGATGGATGGATGGATGGATGTTAATATAATGCAAAAGTATTATATCAACATGTTTGTGCTGACACAAATTTACAATTTTCACAATATTTCACTGTGACACTAAATGCAAACGCATTCACGTGTGCTTTATCATATTCAAATTATTAATTTTACTGTCGTTTGTAGAATGCAGAATCAACCACTGCTACGAAGCATAAAATTCAATTGAATTCAAAAATACTTGACATAGTCAATTGAAAAGATATTTATTAAAAAGGCAAACACACATTAAAAAAAAATTAAATACACCATGAGTTACACAATAGTTTCATATTAAAATAAAACTATGGAGTGCATTTCTGCAAAAACGGTTTCAGACAAGAGACATTTTCATTCATTTGCATATTTTTCAAAAATACTTTAATGTATAAACACGTTTTACTTCTCCTTTGCTGGTTTCTTAAAACAACTTGTGGGGTCAAGCTGAAAGTAAATGTTTCCTCAAGAACAGCCTGAGAGGACCTGGTTACTGAATCAAAACCAGAGTCTAGATTAAAATTCTCAGAACGAGTCCCACAGTTTGAGTCCAATAAACCAACAACTCACAACAACAAGTAAACAGGAGGCCACAGCCAGGATTAGAGGAGCTCTGATTCAAATGGTGCACTGATTTGTACCCCAGTCACGTAACTAAACCCAATAAGAGAAACAACCAGCATGAAGAAGTAAAACCGTAACTATAACTTATTAAAACATGCTGTTTTAGTCAAATATTGGCATTTTCCTCCATTTTTTTTCTATCAAATACTCTTCAAAAGTTCTCCACAGAAGAAAAATGATTATTTCCCTCTAGATTCACGGTCCTCCCTGCCGTGGGTTCTAAGTGTCTCCATAGACACTAACTGGATCTTGTCCAAAAACCAAGAAAAGAAGTTTGGCTTCTAATGAGGCATTAAAGATCTGCCCTCATTTGTTTTTGTTGCCTCCGTCATTCATTGCACCCTTCATTGCAGGCATTGCTTTATAATTAGCCATTTATTTGTAGTCACCAGTATGAGTAACTATAGCTCTGCCTTGTCCTGCCTCTTGTGTTGTTTTTGTTCCTGGTTTGCAGAACACCTGAATCCGAGGTTATCAGAGGCAGAGTCCGGGGTGTTGCCCATCCTGGAGGACACAGAATCACAACCATCAGCCAGTCGACATAGTTCTGTGCTCAGGGTGCAACTTTTACTTCAGCAGCCTCACCTGGTTGTGACCCGAGCTCTGTGATTGGCCGAACCGTCCACCGTGTCAATCCAGGAGGCGCCGCGCAGCACGTACATCGTCTGTGCTGACTTGAAACGAGTGGATGTCCACTCCCACGTGTTTCCCATCATATCATACAGTCCTGCAAGAACAACCAATATCAGAATGAAAATCTAAAGCAGGGCTATTCGACTAAATTGCTCAGGGGGCCACAATTATTAAAAGCCAAGAGCTCAGAGGCTGGACATCCAGCAGTTATTTTCATTTAGTAAGTTTATTTTATGGTTTAAAATCTAGTTTTAGTTAAAAATGAACCCATTGGTGGACCAAACTGAGTCCCCCCATGGGCCTGATTTGGCCCCTGGGCCACCAGTTGAATAGCCCTGATCTAAAGTAAACAATTTCAATTTTATTTCCATCAGTATTGTTCAGTTCAGTATTCATATTGCAGTAACTCAAACATCTCATTTGTTCTTTATGCTGAGGCACAGTTACCATAACTGTTCTGAGGAGGAAATGCTGTGACAGGAGAAGTGCCGTGGAATCCATCCTCTGCTGTATCTGCATCCGGGAACTTTCCCTAAAACAGAGAAGATGCAGTCCTTCAAGTGTTTTTATGTAAACTCATAACTTATATCCTAAAATGTGTTTGAAGACTATTTGAAGAAATCAATGTAAATAATTGTGTTGATGCAAAGTTTGTTTTCTCAGTCATCCAGGTATATAACAACAAAAAAGGTTGAATCATGTCATCTGGACTTCGTTTTTTTTTGTTAAAAAGAAACGTTTCGCCCCTCATCCAAGAGGCTTCGTCAGTCTGAGGCCTAGCCATCTGGTATTACCCAGAAGCCACCCTGACTCTTGTGTTTCAAGCCTGCCTCAGATACCCCTGAAGTCTGGCCTTTTCACTAATGGTTTCAAAAACTCAAAGTTAGCCTCAGACTGACGAAGCCTCTTGGATGAGGGGCGAAACGTTTCTTTTTAACAAAAAACGAAGTCCAGATGACATGATTCAACCTTTTTTGTTGTTATATACCTGGATGACTGAGAAAACAAACTTTGCATCAACACAATTATTTACATTGATTTCTTCAAATAGTCTTCAAACACATTTTAGGATATAAGTTATGAGTTTACATAAAAACACTTGAAGGACTGCATCTTCTCTGTTTTAGGGAAAGTTCCCGGATGCAGATACAGCAGAGGATGGATTCCACGGCACTTCTCCTGTCACAGCATTTCCTCCTCAGAACAGTTATGGTAACTGTGCCTCAGCATAAAGAACAAATGAGATGTTTGAGTTACTGCAATATGAATACTGAACTGAACAATACTGATGGAAATAAAATTGAAATTGTTTACTTTAGATCAGGGCTATTCAACTGGTGGCCCAGGGGCCAAATCAGGCCCATGGGGGGACTCAGTTTGGTCCACCAATGGGTTCATTTTTAACTAAAACTAGATTTTAAACCATAAAATAAACTTACTAAATGAAAATAACTGCTGGATGTCCAGCCTCTGAGCTCTTGGCTTTTAATAATTGTGGCCCCCTGAGCAATTTAGTCGAATAGCCCTGCTTTAGATTTTCATTCTGATATTGGTTGTTCTTGCAGGACTGTATGATATGATGGGAAACACGTGGGAGTGGACATCCACTCGTTTCAAGTCAGCACAGACGATGTACGTGCTGCGCGGCGCCTCCTGGATTGACACGGTGGACGGTTCGGCCAATCACAGAGCTCGGGTCACAACCAGGTGAGGCTGCTGAAGTAAAAGTTGCACCCTGAGCACAGAACTATGTCGACTGGCTGATGGTTGTGATTCTGTGTCCTCCAGGATGGGCAACACCCCGGACTCTGCCTCTGATAACCTCGGATTCAGGTGTTCTGCAAACCAGGAACAAAAACAACACAAGAGGCAGGACAAGGCAGAGCTATAGTTACTCATACTGGTGACTACAAATAAATGGCTAATTATAAAGCAATGCCTGCAATGAAGGGTGCAATGAATGACGGAGGCAACAAAAACAAATGAGGGCAGATCTTTAATGCCTCATTAGAAGCCAAACTTCTTTTCTTGGTTTTTGGACAAGATCCAGTTAGTGTCTATGGAGACACTTAGAACCCACGGCAGGGAGGACCGTGAATCTAGAGGGAAATAATCATTTTTCTTCTGTGGAGAACTTTTGAAGAGTATTTGATAGAAAAAAAATGGAGGAAAATGCCAATATTTGACTAAAACAGCATGTTTTAATAAGTTATAGTTACGGTTTTACTTCTTCATGCTGGTTGTTTCTCTTATTGGGTTTAGTTACGTGACTGGGGTACAAATCAGTGCACCATTTGAATCAGAGCTCCTCTAATCCTGGCTGTGGCCTCCTGTTTACTTGTTGTTGTGAGTTGTTGGTTTATTGGACTCAAACTGTGGGACTCGTTCTGAGAATTTTAATCTAGACTCTGGTTTTGATTCAGTAACCAGGTCCTCTCAGGCTGTTCTTGAGGAAACATTTACTTTCAGCTTGACCCCACAAGTTGTTTTAAGAAACCAGCAAAGGAGAAGTAAAACGTGTTTATACATTAAAGTATTTTTGAAAAATATGCAAATGAATGAAAATGTCTCTTGTCTGAAACCGTTTTTGCAGAAATGCACTCCATAGTTTTATTTTAATATGAAACTATTGTGTAACTCATGGTGTATTTAATTTTTTTTTAATGTGTGTTTGCCTTTTTAATAAATATCTTTTCAATTGACTATGTCAAGTATTTTTGAATTCAATTGAATTTTATGCTTCGTAGCAGTGGTTGATTCTGCATTCTACAAACGACAGTAAAATTAATAATTTGAATATGATAAAGCACACGTGAATGCGTTTGCATTTAGTGTCACAGTGAAATATTGTGAAAATTGTAAATTTGTGTCAGCACAAACATGTTGATATAATACTTTTGCATTATATTAACATCCATCCATCCATCCATCCATCCATTTTCTTTACCCGTTTATTCCATTTTGGGTCACGGGGGTCGCTGGTGCCCATGTCCAGCAATCACTGTGCGAGGGGCGGGGTACACCCTGGACAGGTCGCAAGTCCATCACAGGGCCACATAGAGACAAACGAGACAAACAACCATTCACTCTCTCACTCACACCTAGGGACAATTTAGAGTTACCAATCAGCCTAACATGCATGTTTTTGGTCTGTGGTAGGAAACCGGAGTACCCGGAGAAAACCCACGCATGCACGGAGAGAACATGCAAACTCCACCCAGAAAGGCCCCTGGACCGGGGTTTGAACCAAGGACCTGCTCGCTGAGAGGCAGCAGCTCTACCAGTTGCGCCACCGTGCTGCCCGTTATATTAACATGTCTGGGGTAAATATATAGTTAATGCAATAGTTCAGCTCATTTTAGTCCTGGTAGTTTTGTAACTTTTGTAATTTTTCAAAGCTGTAAATTATGATTAACAAGATGGAGCGTGTGCATAGAAAACACTAATAAGGTCACAAGGTATGATTAATTACTATGGAGTTTTATGAAAACGGCAGAATTTCTTTAAAAAAATAAAATTCTTCAGTGAAAATACATTTTTAACAACAGACTAATAACTTCGCTACACTTTTAAACAATTAACATTCACATTGATAAAACTAAGTGAAAAATCACATGTATCCTGTTGGTTTAAAGAAAATAAAACTTTAATGTAAAGTGAGTTTGCAGGTTCCCAGCCTGAGTGGTTGCCAGTGGTGATTTCAGGAATGGCACCAGCTATTATCAATATAACTTTTGTATATAACTTAAAATAACGAACTTTATATAGTAAATGTTAACTTTACATAAAATTGATTTAAACACTTAATTTTGCTTTTGTGCATGTTAAATAAGGCAAAAAACGTTACATTTTTAATGAGACGTTCAAATATGGCGGCTGTTTTTTCTGCTGAGTTCATGTCACCTCGGAAATTGGACTCTTCCCTCTGGGACGGACATTGATCGCATTTTGCCCGCGATCAGGCTAACTAGCATAATGTTCCAACCATGAATTACTGAGAAACAAACCCGTGTAAGTTAGTATAAAATATTAATTCTACAGCTGTCAAACTTAATCTATAGGTTTCCAATACTGAAGCTGAGGTCAGGGGTGGTCTAGATTCTCCATTTTTGCTAGTCATATTTCCGATTTTGGAACGGAAAGTCCGACTAATAGGCTCTGTGCACATGCGTCCTGAATCACTTCCCCTTTGACCGGATGTCGGCATTCCAGTTTCCGGTCTAATCCCCGGTCTCGGTGAAAATGGCGTTTTCTAGATGTTTACAAGAGCTGCCCAAGATAAATATCAGCGATGTTCATCGTATTGTTGATGCCTGGTCCCCTGCTCCGACAAGCAAACGTAACAAGGGATTTAAATTGTATATCTCAAGTTACCTGCACAACTACGAGGGTAAGTAACGCTAGTTTGATCGTTGTGATGTTGCTAACTGTTTGCAGCTAACGTTAGGCTATTAGCAACACGACCATTTTTGTGTATACTCACGTTATAGAAACAGGTTTCCACACTTAAACAAAAGGCTCATATTTTGTGATCATTCTACTAACATTCTGCTCTTGTCAGTTTCTAGCAAAAATCAGGACACAGGTGAAGTCGTTGTCAGGGCTCTGTGTCACAGGTCCATGAAGAAAAATGAAAAACCTCACAGTTTAAGTGTAGGGTGAAGATAGGATTGTTCAGATGACAGTTTTAAGATTGTTGGTTCAGCAACCCGACGTTCCTAATGTTAATGGGGATTTAGCTAAGGTGGTAATTAATTCTTAAATAAAAATAAAATGGAATTGGCTATTTGATGAATATTAACACGTGAGTTTGGCCTTGCTTGTCCCCATTTGGTTATTTGCTGCATGCATTGTTCTTCTTTTATGGTTGTTATGTGTTACTTTTAACCCAGTGTTAATTTGGTAATTCATGCATATTAGTTTTACTTAAATCTAAAGAATACACTCACAGTCTCTGTAACATTATCCAGGTATTTTTTACCTAGCGGGTCTCCTCTGGGTTAAAAGTAACACATAACAACCATAAAAGAAGAACAATGCATGCAGCAAATAACCAAATGGGGACAAGCAAGGCCAAACTCACGTGTTAATATTCATCAAATAGCCAATTCCATTTTATTTTTATTTAAGAATTAATTACCACCTTAGCTAAATCCCCATTAACATTAGGAACGTCGGGTTGCTGAACCAACAATCTTAAAACTGTCATCTGAACAATCCTATCTTCACCCTACACTTAAACTGTGAGGTTTTTCATTTTTCTTCATGGACCTGTGACACAGAGCCCTGACAACGACTTCACCTGTGTCCTGATTTTTGCTAGAAACTGACAAGAGCAGAATGTTAGTAGAATGATCACAAAATATGAGCCTTTTGTTTAAGTGTGGAAACCTGTTTCTATAACGTGAGTATACACAAAAATGGTCGTGTTGCTAATAGCCTAACGTTAGCTGCAAACAGTTAGCAACATCACAACGATCAAACTAGCGTTACTTACCCTCGTAGTTGTGCAGGTAACTTGAGATATACAATTTAAATCCCTTGTTACGTTTGCTTGTCGGAGCAGGGGACCAGGCATCAACAATACGATGAACATCGCTGATATTTATCTTGGGCAGCTCTTGTAAACATCTAGAAAACGCCATTTTCACCGAGACCGGGGATTAGACCGGAAACTGGAATGCCGACATCCGGTCAAAGGGGAAGTGATTCAGGACGCATGTGCACAGAGCCTATTAGTCGGACTTTCCGTTCCAAAATCGGAAATATGACTAGCAAAAATGGAGAATCTAGACCACCCCTGACCTCAGCTTCAGTATTGGAAACCTATAGATTAAGTTTGACAGCTGTAGAATTAATATTTTATACTAACTTACACGGGTTTGTTTCTCAGTAATTCATGGTTGGAACATTATGCTAGTTAGCCTGATCGCGGGCAAAATGCGATCAATGTCCGTCCCAGAGGGAAGAGTCCAATTTCCGAGGTGACATGAACTCAGCAGAAAAAACAGCCGCCATATTTGAACGTCTCATTAAAAATGTAACGTTTTTTGCCTTATTTAACATGCACAAAAGCAAAATTAAGTGTTTAAATCAATTTTATGTAAAGTTAACATTTACTATATAAAGTTCGTTATTTTAAGTTATATACAAAAGTTATATTGATAATAGCTGGTGCCATTCCTGAAATCACCACTGGCAACCACTCAGGCTGGGAACCTGCAAACTCACTTTACATTAAAGTTTTATTTTCTTTAAACCAACAGGATACATGTGATTTTTCACTTAGTTTTATCAATGTGAATGTTAATTGTTTAAAAGTGTAGCGAAGTTATTAGTCTGTTGTTAAAAATGTATTTTCACTGAAGAATTTTATTTTTTTAAAGAAATTCTGCCGTTTTCATAAAACTCCATAGTAATTAATCATACCTTGTGACCTTATTAGTGTTTTCTATGCACACGCTCCATCTTGTTAATCATAATTTACAGCTTTGAAAAATTACAAAAGTTACAAAACTACCAGGACTAAAATGAGCTGAACTATTGCATTAACTATATATTTACCCCAGACATGTTAATATAACGGGCAGCACGGTGGCGCAACTGGTAGAGCTGCTGCCTCTCAGCGAGCAGGTCCTTGGTTCAAACCCCGGTCCAGGGGCCTTTCTGGGTGGAGTTTGCATGTTCTCTCCGTGCATGCGTGGGTTTTCTCCGGGTACTCCGGTTTCCTACCACAGACCAAAAACATGCATGTTAGGCTGATTGGTAACTCTAAATTGTCCCTAGGTGTGAGTGAGAGAGTGAATGGTTGTTTGTCTCGTTTGTCTCTATGTGGCCCTGTGATGGACTTGCGACC